TTTCATGTTCCCATTAGGTAAGCTCCTAGATTGTTTCGGGATCCACTCTCTTATCTGTCATACCAAACTTTGCTAGTGTCAGTTGTCTGCGGAGTTGGTCTTCTTCTTGAAATGCAGATCCAGTTGCCTTAGGTACTTGAGTTAAAAAGCAAAAATTGTCTAAGTGCATACCTGCTATCCAGTAGGGCAATACAGGCTCCCACTTAAAGGAATTCTTTTGGTCTTAGGATAGCGAAAATGGACAAGGAACACAGATAAGTTTGTTAAAGCACTTTTAATCAAGGTAGTTGTTAGTTAAACTCTCTTCCCACTGTCCAGCTTTTTTTCATATTGTCAAATGATTAGCTTAGTTGCCATTTACTCTTCTCCTTGAATGAAGCTCCTAAAGGAAGTGCATAATACAAAATGGAAGAAGTGTGACTTTAGTATAGCCTAAGTAGCACCGACACGCTTCGGGAGCCGCCATGTCGGTGTTGGACACATGTCGGCATCTGACACGCGTCCTTCACGCAGTCAACAGGTGTCGGACATCCGACATGTGGTCAATGCATCGGACAAGCCGGCAACTCGCGAGTCCATTCGTCACTGTGAGAGAGAGAGAGAGAGAGAGAGAGAGAGAGAGAGATGAGCGTGGCAATGAAGAAGAAGGTGCAAATCTCTAACGCCAAGGACGACGCCCTCCACGCTGTCATCTCCTTCACCTCCCGCTTCGCCGGCAACGGAGGAGAAGGAAGAGGCGGGAGGAGGCTGAGGATTGTCATGCGGAGGAGGGAAGCTGGAGAGAGTAGGGGGGATAGCGAGGGAGGATATTATTAGGGTTTTGACGAAGTGAAAGTGGCTTGGGCTTCCAACGACGGACGCTGCTTTTTTTATTTTTGATCTTGTACTTTCTTTTTTTGCAAATTTGATTATGTACTTTCAGTTTCTTAACTAATATATTTATTTATACATAATTATTTTTTGAAAATTTATTCTTACTAAGATCACGTGTATAATGTTTTTAGTTTAAATTCATTCTAGGCTTTTTTTATTATTTATTTACTTATGGATTTGAATCAATTTAAAAAAGGGCTAATATCACGAAAAATCTCAAACTGGTACACCTGTGACATTTTACTCCAAACTAATTTTTTTACCACAAAAAATCCCAAACTAGTGCACTTGTGATAAATTTACCCTCAATTTATTTCCGTTAAATTTTATTGTTAAGTTGCTTTGTTAAATGACATACGGCAGTTGACTTATCTACCAGTTTTATGTTTTACCCTCGGTTTGTCACAGGTGTATCAGTTTGTAATTTTTTGTGATATTAATTCAATTTAACGGAAATTAACGGAGGGTAAATTTGTCACAAATGTACCAGTTTGAGGTTTTTTGTGGTCAAAAAATTAGTTTGGGATAAATTTGTCACAGGTGTACCAGTTTGGGGTTTTTGTGGTATTAACCCATTTAAAAATGATAATTTATCATGTATATACAAAAATATATATTTAAATACAACGTGTCGGAATTCTCTATTTTTTGAGAAATGACGTGTCGGCGTGTCGTGTCGCGTGTTGCATGTCGGTGTCAATTCTACTTATAGTATAGCACTTTGGTGTTCCTCTTTTTAGAAATTAGATTCCCCTTTGCCTTGATTTATGTCAAGTTCTGAGATTGCCTAGATCTTTAGAACACCTCTTAAATTGACAACATGGTTAATGTCTTTGGATAAAATCAGCTCGTCTTTGTAGCTACTAATGACATTTTGCCTCTATCCATATTCATCTTTGGCTAGTTAAGATGCTACTTTCCATGAAGTATATCCATTTCCTGCTCTTTTGAATTTCTGGAGTTTAATTGTTCTTTGTTGACAGCGAGATGCTGCCACTGCCCCAACTGTTGGTGATAGAGTACCTTATGTCATCATTAAAGCTGCAAAAGGTGCCAAGGTAATCAGTGGTTAGATTCTTCCTTTCAGTGTCTTTGTTCATGGTACCATTCTTCTCAAAATAACTTGGTGACAACAGGCTTATGAAAGATCAGAGGATCCCATCTATGTGCTAGAAAACAACATCCCAATTGACCCTCAATACTATCTAGAAAATCAAATTAGCAAGGTAATTTTATCAGTAATTCTGCATTTTGTAATGAAAATCTCTCATTCACTGGTCAAGGGGTTTCAATTTTGCAGCCGCTTCTCAGAATCTTCGAACCAATCTTGAAGAATGCTAGCAAGGAACTTCTTCAGGGAAGTCATACAAGATCTATTTCCATCTCTACTCCTTCAAACAGCGGGATCATGAAATTTGCCAAGAAGCAACTAACTTGCATTGGTTGCAAAGCTTTGATAAGGTATTGATTGCATTTAAGTTCTTATGCTGCAATTTCTTGTGTTTCAATTTCTTGTGTGCTTGTATTTTTCTTTTCAGATCACATTGATCTTTAGGTTTATTTGCCTTTTGGTTTCAAAATCTGATGGTTTAGTTGAACATGGTAAGCTTCTGTTCTTAAGGATTTTTTTCTTGTTCAAACAGTCCTCTGGTTCATCTGCAATATAATGTGTCAAAGATAGTATCACATTCTGGGGCTATTCTGTGAATGATGGACTAGAGTTTACATTAGGAAAAGGAATGACTGGAAAAGTGAAAATCAGCATTTCTCCTGCTAGACTGCCAGTAACATCTGTGAGATCTTGAATTTAGTTTGAGTAATCAATTAATTGATTAATGAAATGTCAGATTTCTGTCAAAATTTTATATATTTGGACTAGTATTCCGCAATAAACAAGAGGAAAGAAGAATGATCTTGCTATTGGCTTCTCCTTCAAGCTTTAACATCACCATGTGATGCTGAGAGAGCCATAACCACTGAAGATCGACATATAGTTTGTTGTTATGCACAGAGCAATCTGTCTCATCTTTCTTGAATTGCCCATTGAATGAGGAAGTGGTAATATTTTTTCCAATTTTGCAGCACACGCATGCAAGTTATAGATGCATTCACTTCATATGGCATACTTTATCTTTCTTGTCCAACCAATGAGTTGCTTTGTAACGAAATAATTTTTTGAGCTCCCTTTTCATATTTTGGGACCTGAAACTGGCAAAGTCTTTTTGTTGGGCTTTTGTACGGATAGAAAGTTAATTTGCAATGTGTCTTAAACTTGTGTGCCAACCCTGAGTTATATTGCTTCTGTCCACTGTACCAGCAATACAAATGGAACTCTTTGTTCACACTGCAAGGGAAGGGAAGCTGAATTGTATTGTAAAACGGTATCTCAAGGTAAGCATCTCTGCTGATGTTATATTTTCTTCCTGCACCTTAGTCGGATATATAGCACACAGGTAAATTTGGCTACTTGCATAAAATGGTTGCAGTCTCCGAGCTTGAGGAGCTTTTTGGAAGGCTCTGGACACAGTGTCAAGAATGCCAGGGTTCGCTTCATCAGGATGTACTTTGCACAAGGTTATTTTTTGTTTCCTCACAATACTTTTTAAGATAGCTTGTATATTATTTGCATAATTGATATCATAACCTTTGCAGTCGGGATTGTCCCATATTTTACCGGAGAAAGAAGGCACAGAAAGACATGGCTGAAGCCAAGGGGCAATTAGATAGATGGAACTTCTAAAATGTCAACAGACTTTGTAGTCTTCTTTCCGCAGACAAATTTTGATTACCTAATTAAATGTACTAAGAGCTCTCTGTGTTGATGCCGGTGGACAAGCCGGATCCCCGTGGTCAAGATGAGGGAAAATTCAAAGTTGCTCCTGGCCTCTGGACTGAAGTAATAAGGAAGAAGTTTCTCCCTCAGGAGAGATGGTAGATGGAAAGTCGCCACTGAGGTCTTGTTACTGACGCCTCTGACAAAAATATAGAAAAGCGATTTGGCTTCATCCATTACGGGTTATTGATGAAGAAAGATATGCCTCATCTTATTCAAAAGGCCAAGAAAATGACCTGTCGGGGGTTTTTGACAGAGAAGAGTTCTGCTCACCTGTAGCCTCCTCGACTTCACGTGTGAGCACGACGTACTGTGTACCTATTCTGATTGCCTGTTGCAGGCCATGGGATTGTCATGTATATGGTATTATTCTTATCCTCCCAGCTTTTCTATAATCTAATTTTGCATGTATCTTCATGGCGGGGTGTTTAGTTGAGCATCTCCGTTAGTGTACATAACAAGAAAAAGATTGGCTGCTGGAGTTTTGTACGAGACAATGAGAGATTTCCACTGGAAATGTCAGTGTGAGCTTGTCATAGGCACTTGTAAAGTGAACGCTGCTACGGATGCCAAAGCTAAGTCTGCTGTCGAGATTTTGAAATTGATCTGATCGCAGTGATCTGTGCTGGTCGACAAGAGGAGATGCTTCTATCTTCACTTCTGTTTGCTGGTATGGCTATTTTTCCCCAATCTTATTTTATTTCAATATGATGGTGAATTTGACGGCAGAGGTAACATTGACCTTAAAGATGGTTAGTAAATGTCCTAAAGATTACTAAGAAAATGTCATGCAAAAATTTGTCCGCCCAAATCCTGTTTGTTTTCCTTACTAACTTTATCGCCTTTCAATTGAGCATTTGAGCTCCGATATTTTTCATTTTAGTTACAGACGTATTAACTTCCGGGTCTTTTAGGGTAAAGAGATGGCTTAGTCCGTCTAGTTTTGGTTTGTCAAAACCAAAGCCTCGTTAAAATTAAAACCTAAGGGATCTGTACTCAAAAGGGGGCAAAAAGCATTTGAAGGAATGGATCTTGGAGGGATGATAGGACTTCCCCACTTTGCAAATGGCTTTGCATATACTCTCCTCTTCAGATGTGTATGGTCAGAAAGGAAACTATTGGAACTGATATGATAGGGTAGGATCAAATACGAAATCTCCCAGATTGATCATGTACTATCTATGTTTGAGAAAATGCAGGGTGTTAGAGCGAATGTACACATCTAATCTATACTTGTCTGATTGGATCCCAAAACCAAAAGATCTGCATAGAGAAGTAAAAAGACATCATGATATGCTTACAATTATCGCTCTCGAACACTGTTTGAGTAGATCAATCCTCAATTCATGGGTTGTTTTTGCCGTGAGAACACAATTAGTATAATTACAAGATTTTTTTTCTTTCAATTGCAGTCTGGAAAAATGGCCCGCTATCTGGAACAACCCCTACTCACTACGAGCATCTAGTAATGCAGGTCACACAGGAGATCAGGAAAGGAAAAATATTATAAAATTTGCACATAATTTAAGTAGGAGACGCAATCACCCAGCAAACAATTTTCACATTCACGACTAGGGTTATCTGTTTTTTAATTTGAAATCATCCGCTCATCTTCGCTTCTGCTATTACTTGAAATCTACCGTTACTGCAAGTAATGGCACAAGTCGATGATTGGACACTCCGATGCCAAGGCCAGACTTTCACTACTGCTCTTGCGAGCTTTGAAGCCAACTATTCAAGGTGACAACTTAAGTAAACAGTCTCAAACGGGTTGTTATGGGCTGTCGGCACAAAGGACAGGTTGAGATTGATGCGCCGCAGTCCTTGCATGTCTGGAAAGGGATAAGAAAATAACATATGTAAGCTTACAATATCCACAGCACTACAGATACACTCTCTCTCTCTCTCTCTCTCTCTCTCTCTGTGTGTCTAACATGTTAAGGAATCATTACTTCCACAGTCCATCATAGTTTGAACATCTTTTCTAGTCTAGTTAGCCTTCAATGAGAATAACATCTCGTGCCCCGTATATGCTACTACTGTAGTATTCTTTTCCGTTAAGAATGAGACTAGTCCAACCGTTAGTTGGAGATTATTTCGTGGGTAAACTAGTGATTAGTTAAGTACGTCAGATTTCTGGGGCATGATAAACAGCAATACTGTAAAATAAGTTCATTTGTTGGCTGAGCCATAGCCAACTCTGACAAAACCAGTTGAATGAGAGCCAGAACTTTCTTTGGAAAATATATATTTCTTTCAGAAGTACCTAATTTGGCACTGTTATACTGGGGACAGCCAGTTTTATGCTTTTAACTTCCTCATCTGAATAAGGAAGAATTCTATTCTATTAGATTCTAGCCTGAAAGTGAGAAAGCAAGTTCAGGTGGGAAATGGCTATAACAGGTGCTAACGTGTATACTCCACAAATTGGAGGTCACATAAAGAATGATACTAATTGCTGAATGGAGAATTACTCACCAGATGGCCACATCCAAAGGCCATGTTCTTTGGATTTGTAAGGCAAATGGGGCAAACCTTGAAGAACACAGGCAGCTTAGTTCAAACTTAGATTTAACCAAGAACCTGAAGTTCACAAAAAAAAAAAATGGTGATTAAATGATACCGGTTCTGCCGGAGCTGCTTCCTGAGTTTTTGGAGAACTTTCTGGGATTGACTTATCCAAGCTGTCACGACCACTGACTTCAGGTGGGGGTGGAAGTGGCCTCGTACGAGGACCAGTCACTGTGTTACTGCAGTATAGGCATGATTTATCGTTATAGCAGGCCTCAATGTGGTGTAGAAACAAACAGCTGCAGCTCCCAATCTTACTTGACATGCGAAATGCTTTGAGTGGCTCTATACTGAAAGGGAATTTCCATGAGAGCAGCAAGAGCAAAAGCGGTCTCTTTCTTTGAAGTATCTGTGTTCTCAGACATGATTTTTGTGAAGTTGACAAACTGCGTCGTGGAACAATAAATAAACAAGAAGGTTAAAAGCACCAAAAAAAAACTGTGATGGATTTTATTGATTCTGAACTTAAAATGTGTACTTCGTGCACCAATTACTACAGTCAGAGACCAATATATCACACCATATTACAAAAAAGTACAGAGAAGGGGAACTTCACAAACCAAAAGACATAATTCACTGCGTAAACATTATTCAACAGCACAGTCATCGGCAGTAAGTACGCCACACGTCTGGCTAGAATTGGTACTCAATAAACATCCCTCAATACAAACTAGTGAATATACATTTAGCATACTTGAATTACTTCTTCTGAAACTTATTTTGAATTACGCAGTTCCATTGCTAGTCTTATTATGTGAACAACCCTTGGCATTATTGATGCAACTATACTTATAAAAAGAACTTGGATAATTGCAAAAGGCATCATCAATTGTGCTCTCCATATCAAATACCCTCCTCAAATTTCGAGACCTACATTTTGCATCTCCCCAACCTAAAGAAACTTACTTGCGCTCATGCACATCACGAAATCCACACCCAAAAATTAAAACAAAGGTCTAGGATGGGGTAATTTGGGAAAGAAAATGAGGTAATTTGCAACTTAGCAAATTATGTGTGAAGGGAGATGCAACTTAAAACCAATGGAAAAAAGTCAGGATGGTAATTGTAGGTTTTAAAATGTGAGGAGAGTAATTGACAGAAGAGCAAAGTTCAGGATGGTATAGGTAATTTTCCCCAAAGAGATCTTTCAGTACCTGAAAGTTATCGAATGCACGTTGAGGGATATCATCATCAAATTGCTTCATTGCATCCCATGGTCCATCTCCCACACCAACTAAAATAATGGAGAGAGGGTAATGGCTACTCTACCAAAAAGACACAAACAGGATGTCGAGGAATGTGTTATTTGCAAAGTTGGAATATGTGGCCTTTCTTCACCCAGCAGGATGGCAACAAAAACACGCAATTCCAAATTACCTGGCAGCCACTATGGAGTTTACAGTTGCCTGTTCTTGTGGGCTGAATCTCCCACGAGGTAAATCAGGACTTCTAGTAACCTATGAACCATGGTGATGGACCAATAAGCTCGAGGAAAGAACTTGGTGATAGAGCAATAATGGAAAAGGATGTACATAGTAAAGGATACGCAGAGTATTAAGAACCTGTCCATCTGCAATAATGACAAGGACGTGATATTGCCCGTTGCTTCTAGCAACAATGTCAATGGCCGCATCGATTATTGGCGCAAATGATGTGGGCCCTATAAACAACGGTGACAGAAAGCGTTAAATACTACAGCATGGAAGTTTCTATTATATGGACTTTCGCCTGCACGAGACAGTCTTAAAGGATCCATCATAAACTCTTAAGCATAGGACAAATTTCCTGTACGAGACCAACAAAAGAAACGTGAGACAATGTGAGGGCAATGAACCGTCCAAAATGGGGAAAAGAGAAAGACGAAGGACAAGTGAATTCATGGGAAAATATCAGTTAAAATGGAAGACTATCACAGCTAAACTATGGCTTCGGAATGAACTAGCAGTATGTTGAGTGAGATAGCTATTTTCCGACCCAAGCCTAAAAACTATTCAAACTAATAACTTGGTTTACAAGTTGGGAAAGTTTGGTATGGACATTTCAATTTTATTTCTTAACCACGTAGAACCACCAAAACCTCTTGTTCTCCTCTTGGATTATAATGCTATTATTTGGGTCTCATTGACAAGAATACATGCTATAATCTGATTTCCATCTGTCCTGCCACATCAAGTCTAATGCAAATGAAAAATGAAAATACTACTGATTCAGACAAGCTGTTTCATTATTCTTTGCAATGATTAACAACACTGCACTTTGCTTGAACTTGCAGATTTGACTATTTCACGTTTAATAGAAGATGAATAAAGTGCAAAATATTTTGGCCTAAAATGGGAACTATCATATAAGAACGATCAGCAAAGTAGGAGAAAACCTGACAACTTTAGGTGTAGGACGATCTCTCTATAACGTGCAAGCGCTTCCTCAAAACCACGACAATAACGATGATCAGAATAAAAGCTGAAGACGGATTGATCATGTGTTGATGCTGCAAAAGCAATGTGATGAGAAGAAAGCTTCAAGGCGATGATAAGAATTCCTACCAAAGCTACAAATTACTGACAGCACTGACCATCGCCAAATCCAAAACACGGTATGAGTTCATCTTCGTCAAAAGGGGACAATGTTCTGCCAATTATAGAAATGGCTTGCTCATATGGATTAGGCGTGTTACCAATGGCATGAAGATTTCTTCTCCCGAAGGAACGTCTGCCTACAGTATGAAATTCACATTATTTTTCCAATATATAGTTTCATAAAACCTTAACGCTTTGTTTGTCTATTGGAAATAGAATCACCTGACCACTCATTGCTCTTTGTGAAATCAATACCAAGAATTAAATTTGATGATTCAAGGCCAGCATCCCTCAATGCAGTTGTGACCTAAAATATGAGCATCACAAATCCCATTACTGTTTTATTTTACATCTTTACAATCAAAACAGCCAAAGTATAATCACCACAGTTCACACACCCATCTAATTTTACGGCTCCACAATCAAAATTGCCAATTAACAAACAGCGAATATGATAGACAAGAACCGCAGATAAAAAAGGATATCAACTAGGGAATTTCGAACTAAGACTGGCTCAAATTCTGTGGTAGAATTTTCAACCCAAAAATTTAAGTAATTACACGGAGGGAGACTACATGCACATACGAACAAACTTGTAAACAAGTGATGTAAATTACTTTGACAACTCACGTTAGTCACCTCAACTCAAGTACATAAACCACATTAAACTTAAATTTAACCAAAGTGGTACCAGGAAACTACATTGGCGGGCCCAATCACAACCAAGCCAAATCTCCTCAGCACATAAAAGGCAATGATGAAGAGAGACAGCATGTTCATGATCCTCCTAAACCTTAACGATTAATGGAAACAAACAAAACAATAAAAACCTGATCCAAGGAGCTGAAATTATCTCCAAAGTGCGTCGATCGATGCTCATGTCCATAGTTTGAGTCCATTGAGCTTTCTGCAAAAGAAGGTGGTTGATGCCAAAAATCATCATGAGGATCATATAAGTTGATCCGTCATCGCCCATTTCTAGAACGACAGATTTCCCTATGAAAAGGTATCTATATTTATGTTTTGATCAGACTATCTTATGATGTAGATGGTGGCACTATCACAGGAATAAACAAAGACCAATGAACTATTTTAAAAATCAAGCATAGTAAAGCATAATTCTTGTATAATCTGCTACATGTCAAGGAAACAAATTACAGCATGGTCATTCAAATTCATTATCTGATATCTTGGACCATCAATTATTTCTTTCCCACAGAAAGAATGCAAGACAAAGATGGCTTGCTTCCTTCAATCATCTATTCCCTCAAAATTTCCCGATAAATTATCAACATTCCATTTAACTTGAAACTGAAAAACCCGGCCCAGAAAAATTCCAACCCTGCAACATTTACAGAATCCACATCTGTTGCACTCAATGAGTTTCTAATCGAAGCAAACCAAACAAGTCAACTGACCAAGCACAATCACAACAGTTCGACCCCCATGATTTCAAAGATCCACGCCCACGGCCAACAACATTATGGAAACAGGACCAACTCCAAGTCGTCCCTCTGAAAAAGCTGAAAACTTTTCCATGCGTAGCGGCTCAGTTCAGTCTATCTTAAAATGGGTCTTGAAGAAAGATCCTGAAAAGCACTGTGATCAAGAATTCGCAACAGTACCCTCGAAAGATCAAGAGACCCCCGTAGCCGAAAGCAGCAACAACAGTCATGGCGAATTGATATAGGAAGAGGGAGATGTACCTGGTCATGTGTTGGAGATGAGCCAGAAGATGTGCAGCAACTCAAAGGAGCTTCTTCTCTCGATCGAAGAAAGTCTTCGGCAGATGCAGAGAAAGTGGCCTTCTTGGGCGCTTGACCAATCTGTCTTTATGGCTTTTTGGTTCTCGTCTGATGAGAGTCTTATTTTACTCTTCTTTCTTTCTTTCTTTCTTTCTTTTCGGTTTATTGTTTTCTAAAATAACTTAGCCTGTTCTTCCCCCACGTGGTGTACCTTTGCAACAGAGGCCTTTTTTTGGGGTCAGTTTGGCAATTATTCCGTTTTTAGAAACTAATTCTGCTCAGAAATAATTTTTTTTTATTCTGTGTCCAAAAATAATTTCTAAGCATTTAAAAATATTTGATAATTGCCCAAAATTTCAATTTTTAAAATAGAAAAAGAATATAAATACGTTTGATAACTACACAAAATTTCTTTTTATTAATAATATTTTAATAATATTTTGAATTTTTTACCTTTTTTCTTTTTTTTTCTTTTCCCTTCCCTTTCTTTGGCCATGGCCAGGTCGTCGGTGCCGGCGATCGGCCATAGGCCAGGGCGGCTAGCGACTTGGGCAAGGGCTGCCCTCGGCGGACTGGGCGAGGGTCGCCCTCGCCGGATCTAGCGAGGGCGGCGGCAAGGGTCGTCCACGCCAGATCCAGTAAGGGCCGTGACACCCTCGCCGGCCACAGGCCAGAAAGAAGAAGAAAACCAAGGGGAAGAAGAAGAATTTTTTTTTTCCATTTCTAATTCTTATTCCCAGAATCAAGAAGCTTCTTTTTTTTTTGCTTTTTGATTATGTTCCAAAACTGATTCTATAAATAAATTTTTGCAAATATGTGCCCGGGAACAAAAAATTTACCAAATGGATTTCTGTTCCAAAACTGATTCTGGGAACAAAAGAATAGAAATAGTTACTATTTGGTAACTTGTCAGACGCGCCCTTAATAACCTAATTATTGAAATTTACAACAAAAAAACCCTAATTAAGTGCCAAGAGTTGCAAATCCATCCTTGATGAGACTAAAAAATTTATTTACAGAGGACTCAATTGTTAACTTAAAATATCCGATTAAAAGCTCCTTTGACAAAAACCATAACACAGAGACTGAAAGTTTAAGTATTGAATTTTAAGTATCGATAGTCTTTAAGTCTTAAATAATGGAATTAAAGGTTATTTAGGATCTGTTTATTTCGTGGAAAGTGAATGATTTGAAAAGGATTTTTATGGAAATAATCATTTATACCGCTTGAAATAATTAGTTGATGGAAAATATTTTCATTGTCGACAATAACTTATATCTAAATGTTTTCGTCGATGATTAAGATATTTTTAGTTTATTCATTTTTTGTAAGCAATATAAATAATTATTTTTAAGAAAATATTTTTAGATTATTTATTTTTCGTGAAATAAAGAGGAATATAATTGACAAGATCTTCATTCCTGTTTGGATCAAAGATTCTTCTCTATTGAGTCCGATGAAGGTCTTGTGTAGATAGAAAGGGGTCCAATTTGTCTTTTAAAATATTCTCTTCTTCCTCTTTTTCTTTTTTCATTTTTTTGTGTTACTTTTTCAGCTAACTGGATGCACTTCCCTCAACTTGTACCCTCACGCATAAAGACCTATTTAATAACTCAATTAAGAGTTCAAAATAAAAGAAAATTTGATGAATGAGCTTGTTATTGACTTAAAAGATTCAATTAAGGGCCTGCTTGATAAGATTGAAATAATTTAAGAGCTTAATTATAAAATAATATTATTTTCACCAGCTAGAACCGTCGGATCATTAAGGCCAACTTCTGTTTTCTCGACGAGTGGGTCTTGCAGTCAAGCATCCTTGTGGAAGGATCGTCACTCAATGAATGAAAATTACTCTAGAGATAATAGGCTGATCTTCCCCGAGAGTTCACATTAACATAGAAGTTTGCGACCTCGATGTCAGCTCTTTGCCACCCAAGGCAGCAAAGTGAATTATTAATAGGTTTTAAACTTGTGGCAATGTAATTGCAAGATTTTGATTCCCATTGGGCTGCCTATCTTATTGGATGAATTATCTATTCGCTTCCTCAGTTTGCAAATCCTGACTTAACTAAGTCAAAGCTAGTTATATTTATCACAAGTGGTTAATTTTATTAAGTACTAAATAAGATTAATCCTCCGCACTTATCTAAGCCTCAGTCAAAATTTCATTTAGTATGGTCACCAAACCCCGGCAAGTTTGTCGTTTGTAAGGCCATGTCACAAAAGAAAAGCCCCTTTGATTTGTTTAAACTTTGTTTATAGAAGTTTAGGAACCGCATTATATTTTTCCTTGGCTACCCAGATATTAAGCCTACTTGAAAAAGAATTATCTTTTACGATGTTCGTAGAATACAAGAGTCTCTTGCAGTCTGGCAATGGAGAACACCATGCGAGTATAAATCATGCCGATATACAATCAAGGACCGGACTTGGTTTCGACAAGTTGAATTTTCGCTTCATGGGCCTTTCGAGGCCAAAACACGATTGAGTAGTTTGCTTGCCAACCATCCGTGGCTGCGAACATGAAATCCGATTTGGAACATCAGCCGTTCCCAATGAAGAAGCGAGTGTCCATTTCCAAACTATTGGGTTTGATTGCAATTTAAGTGAAACGCAAATGGGGTCATTGCAGTTTACACAAGAAAAAAACAACTAACAAATGATTCACGACTATGATAAGAGTAGTTGATATGAACTTACTCCAAGATACCGTTGTGGCTTCACAATCAATGCTCAAATGCGCTCTAGCGACATGAAAGATTCATGCTACTGATTCTCTCTTCTTTATACAAGCAAGAACTCGCGCGTTGGGGAACCAAAGCACCCCTCGACCCTCTAGTATCACGTCTACCTTCAAATCCCGGTGTCACTCATGCCTATAAACTCGTCTAACATTGTAAGATTGTAAGCTGATACGTTGAAAAAAAGGTGTCGTAATGCGGGTACGGGTTGTGAAAAAAATGAGTAATCCTGGTCTCGGATCTTATCATCCCTAAGGAGGTAAGTTTTGTCCTCAATAAATAGATGAAGGCGCGAGGTTTGAGCAAGAAACTATGATGAATGATGTGAGGGGCTGGTAAAGGATCTATCTCAGAAATCATACATGTATACTATAAAAACTGTAACGTATTGTTTGAATGGTATATATCAGCATTGTATAATATAACACAAAAAGGTGACAAAAGGTGAGATTTGAGTATGATATCTACCACTGCCCCAACGAATCAACTTGGTCTTGGTGCTGTAATTGTTTTTGAATGGAATTGGGAGAGAAAGGCAAGGAGATCAATGGCTGATGATCAGTGCCCCCGAAAGAGCGAGGCTGAGACAAAATGCTTGCTGAAGAACAAAAAACATTACTACTGTTATTATCGTTATTGGTAAACCCCATGTTGGTGCTGTGATCTTGAATCTGATGATCGAATGGTTGTTGATGCATCCTATGTTGCTGTTGTGGTTGCTGTTGATCCGCTGATGAGCATGATCTCTGTTGTTGTTTGGGGACATTCAGCTTCTCACCCTCAATCTCTCTGTACTTGTTGAGGTATGTCTTGAGGGGCACAACATAATCCTCAAACCCTAGGGTGGTGACCGCCCAGATGATGTCATCCCCATTGATGGTCTTCCTCTTCTCCCTCTGGCACTTGTCTGATGCCTCCCCAGTGACAAAGCTGATGAACTCCGACACGCATTCCTGGACCGTCTCTTTTGCGTCCTTGGAGATCTTGCCATTCCCAGGAAGCACCTTCTTCATGATCCTCCCAACGTTGGCAATCGGCAAGAACCTGTCCTGTTCTTTGTTGCTGTGGTGATGGTTGGTCTTCAAGCAAGGGCTCTCTGGGCTTGAGCTTCTTCTTCTGCGCACAACATTTGGCAAATCTCCATGATGGCTCTCAATCTCTTCTTCCATCTCTCTCTCTCTCTCTCTCTCCGAGTATGTGTCTGAAAAAGACAGGTCCTAAAATTTTTTGGGAGTGATTTTGTTTTATTTAAATGAGGATGAGTAAAAATAAAAATGGCATGGGAAGCTTGAAAATAGGCAAACAAAGAGGGTGAGCCCCAAGGGACTCGCTCCCCTCCCGGATGGGGGAATTAACTGTCCTGACCCCATCTCTTAACTATATTTTGCTTGCCCTTGTTGCTATCTCACCCTTGCTCAACTGTGTTTTCTGTTTTATACCATTTTTTCTACATGAACAGTTGGAAAGGACCCTTCTTTTCTGTATTCTGATGTGATTCTTGATCAATTTGATCTGGTCTGGGAATGTTCCCTTGATCATGATTTACTTGAGGGTAGTGATATGACCACCACCAGGTTTGTTCTCGTGACATTGATAACTTTACCAGCTTAATAATGTCTAGAACCAAGTTCAGCTAGAGCAATTCAACTAAATCCTCTAAGAAACTGGTTTTTATTAATTTGAACATCTAACACTGATTTGGAAGGGACAAGAAAAACTACTTATCACTGCACTATGGGGTTTCCTTCAAAATTTGAAAATGAAAGAAAGAAAATTTAAGTTTTGAGGACTTATGAAGTGTTTTGATTTTACATGTCAATACTTGCATATTTGGCGAGGTTTCATTTTATTCGAATTCGGTTAAAGCCTGAGCGCTTGACGTTGACACCTCAAATTTTGTTCCCATTTTCAAAAATCATTAAGCTTGGTCTAGTGTTGACCAAGAGTTTATCAAGGTTAGACTGATGATATGCAAGGCACAAAGTGCGTTTTAAAATTCAACCAAAAAATAAAGTGCGTTTTAAACGTAAAAAATGAGTATTGCTCATCATAACGAGTCTTTTGATATTGCCAACTGCATCTGACAACCAATTTTACACAAACTAGTCGCCCGTTCTTCACAGTGTTGGGAAGTTTACAATTATCATATTTCAATTATACGTCATAAAACTAGGGATCACAAGTAGTCCAATGCAACAAAAATAGGGTCAATTGGAAGTCGAATAAGGAAGTTATCACCTGTCAAATTTTACTCGGCCCATATTTTGAATTTCGAATATTACCATGTTTTTTAGCTATTATGTTTCAAATTTTGGATTTGTTATGTTGTGTTATGTCATCTTATTTCCTCAGTTCGTCCTGGATTTCAAATTTACCTTCTCATATGATTTTCTATCGTGTTCAATTATGAACTTGTCATGTTGTTTTCACATCGTGTTATTTTCTTATTATGTTTGAATTTTCAACTTACCCTGGTTATAGTATGTCATTTTCTTATTGTCCCTAAATTTTGAGTTTATCATGGGGTTGCCATGTCACGTCATTTTTTCATCATGTCCTAAATCGTGAATTTGTGATGCCATGTCATTTCCTCCTTATGTCTGAATTTCGAAATTGATGTATCTTTGTCATGTCATCTTCCCAATTCATGATTGAATTTTGCGTTTGAACTTTGAAGTAACATTTGTATAGGCACCTCCACATACTAACGGAGCCTCTACACACACGAGAAAACGGTCTTGTAATCAATGACGATGGCCAGTAAGTGTACTCGCGACATTTTAAAATTTGCAAACAAAACATCATGTGTGCTAAGGAAATTGATTGAAGAATGATTTAAAACTTAATCAAAACAAGAGCTGTGTGTTAATCCGTCCCACGCATTACCAAACACCCTTACCTACGATCTAGACCGGTTTCTTTTACCCATGCACTTAGGCAGATGAACTTTCTTGGTGGCGACTCTAGTTTGGTTACTACCATTTTTGCACCACATATATTTACCCGAATCTAAAATTTGAGAAGATCTTACGAACCAAGTCGATATTTGCAGGCAGGCGGGGGATTCCGGGTTTACAACATTTGAGGTGCTACACCAGAGTTGCAAGATTTGAGTAAATTGTTCAAAGCAAAAGTCTTCCAAACAGATCCGTGGAGAAGTTCGATTCTTGCTCTCTCAGATTAAAGTTCAGTCATAGAATTCTGATAAGCAGTGAGCTCACTTATCAAGCCAAGGATCAAAGAGTGAGCTCCACCACTGTCCTGATGAGTTTGAGTTATTAGCCCTGCCTTCATGTGAGGTCAACTGAGATAGTTCATTAAGGACACGTAAGAGCTACATAGTATCTTTTCGCCCATGACTAATCAGCACCAACTCCAAAGAACAGCACATGGGAGACAGCTTCCATTAAGTTCAAGATTTACTGAGCATAAGCGGAGATCGGATCTCGATTAGACGCGAATTCATTAAAAATCTTGACTGATCCATAAATATGTGTTCCCTCCTCTTCATCCAATCAATTAGAGAAGAAAGAATAGACAAAATAGGAACTCAGAATCAATGAGCTTCACACTTGCATGAAAGCATTGATGATTTCTTTGACGAATAACGAATAATGTTACAATAATATACCAGCCGACTTTCATCTAAAGAAACCGCAAAAAAAGAAACCAAAAAGGGCATGCAAAGGATAGGACACTGATGGGGCCTAACCGACAAGCTACACGGCCTAAGGCAGAGATACAGTTTCCGTGACTTGCAGAATCGCGACGGAGATAAAGAATAACCTAAATCTTAATTGGCATCACCGACAACACGGCCTCAAGAATGTGAGAAGCAGGGTGTAAATGGAGTTTACTCTAAGCAATGGCGTAGCTGATCATCTCCGATTCGCTGGGGCGCCACATGGACTTCTGGACGCAAAGCAATCCCTCGTTGTCCTTGGAGTACGTCAGCCGGACTTCCCATTGCATCGCCCGCGCCATGCTCTCCACCGCATTGATCGTCTCAACATGGTCCCTAACGATCAACTTGCCCCCAGGTCTCAAGATACGATCCACCTCTGCTACTAGAGCTACTAAGTTACACCTGTTGAGACCAATAATATGCCCCAGTGAGATTAGATTATCATACCAGAAAGGGTCGCAGAAGTTATTGTGTATATTCCTTCTAGGAAAGATTGAGCTATATAAATTCAAGTAGACGAAAAGATTGCATATATGACATCATCATGCACCTCTTTTTGATATTGGAGAAGAGATGGTCCGCATGGAGGAGATCATAAGATCTGGGGTAGGTGCTAAAAGATTCACACCAGTCATGATAAATGCCAAATAGACCACGTTCATAGATTATGGGTAAGGTATCCGGGGCATCTATGGATACCACATTCATGACCCACACATTCAAATCTTTTAGAGCAGCAGCGAACCTGCAAAAACAACCGTGTAGAAAAGTAAAGAAGAGGATACAGCAAAAATAGGTAAGAGCAAATCGTAAAACAGGACGTTATCACTTGCTTTACAAAAGATTGCTTACCCTCCATAAATTGCTCGCATGTCCATGACATTCCTCACAGTAGACCAGTCAATCCCAATTCCATTTAAATATGACTTGGTCACAACCCGTTTCCAGTGCTCATTGTCTGAAGCGAAATCCTCGGGGGCAGATTTACCATAGACTCCAACCTTGGAACTCAACAGCCAATAAGGTGTTTTCACCAACCTCGCTGGCCATTCCTCTGGCCATTGAGACCCACGTTCGGTGGAGTCTATAGGTATTTTATGCATGCATGCTTGCAGATTCACATACCTATTCAGAAAGGAGGACATGGTTGTTAGAAGTATTCTTACAACACCAGGGAACCATTAATGATTATAGATGTAGATGAAAGTTAAAACCTCAATAAGATGCAATAACAAGTAAAGAGTTATAAAAAAAGATAAACAAGAAAGAGTAGAGAAGTTCCGCATTAATCGGGTTGGTTGGTAAAAAGCCAGACTGCAGATGCTTTGAAAGACTTGAATCACATATTTATGTTCTAAAAGAAGCAATTATCCACCAATAAAAAGTATGATATTTTCCTCTTTGCGTAAAAAGTATGTTGGTTATCTCAGAAAAGGGATTACTTACCAGGCGGCATTTGAATCATCAGAGTCTGCACACATTGGGGGATTGTTTTGGGATCTTTTCTCGTAGCAATCATTAGACATAGGCTTCCTATAGGTCGCTACACCAACTCCATTCACGGTATCCTTATTTATAGATATCAGCTCCCAGCACATTGATTTTATTAGTTCAGACATGGCTGCAAAACAATTATCATGAGAAGAGAGCTATTAGAATCCATCAAATAAGCTTCATTTTAACAAAGAAATCCAGATATTAAGCTAAAATATTCTACCTTTCCAAATTGCAACATCATCTGGAATCTTCTGATAAACTGGAGTAGCTGACCACACAAAGAAACCACCAGGTCGCAAGAGGCGGTTCAGCTCCAAAAGGAGTTTACCACCTGCAAAAGAATTATACTAGCACTGAGTATCATATGCAGACTAGCTAAGGCTAAACAGAAAGTAAATGCATTTACTTTTCTGAACAAAAAATCGGTAACTGCATTGTATAAGGAGGTATTATGATTCTAAGTAACATAACTGTAGAAAGAAATAGACTTCTTGACCGGCTTACAGCAGTTTTGGTTATCAAGTAAGTAGTGTACCTTCTATATGCCATGGGACTCTACAGCGTGCACAATGCACAATATCAAAGACTCTGCTAGGGAAGGGAAGTCTTGTGGTGCCCATGACGGCAGATATAGCGGGGATTCCCCTCTCAAGTGCGAACTGAACCTGTGCTTCATGTTCATCTTTCGGGGCAAGTGACATTGCAAGAACATCTCTATCAAAGAGATAGCCTCCAAAACTAGCAACACCACATCCCACATCCAATATCACGCGAGAGCGTTTTCCCCAGGCAACATCAGGAACAGACTGCATGATACCGGCAAAAAACAACCATCAGAAAAAGGAAAGATGATGCAAGAAGAGCAATATAATCGTGTGTAACAGACTCGCAGTCCAAATGGTGAGGTTATAAGAAAGATGCAAGGATATGAAGAAAGCTCACACATGGAAGAGATAAAGAGCATAAGCAAAAGCAGTTTGAAGTATGGGATCGATTTTAAGAAGGATAGCACCAGAAGCAACTCACCCCCTGTATGAAATCGATGTAATGCAGAGCACCAAATTTAAATTGGGTTCCGCCACCAGGGAAGGTAAGGTATTCACCAGTAACTTTCACCCAGTTCTGGTGGCCCTTAACTTCAGCGAGCTTGGTGTGTGGAACATTATAGTACCATATCTGCAACAAGACAATTAAAGGTTAGCAACGACACGGGGTGAGAATAAGCAGATACAAACTTGTAGCTTAATATGGAGCTTGCCTTTTCTCTACTTGTAGGCCATTCAATTGGCTTTTTGTATCCTTTAGGAACAGCAACAAGGCAAGTAGGTGGATTCTGGGGACAGTGCCTCTCTCGGTGTTCGTAATGCTTGGTAGAGCTAAGGCTCTTGATAGCTTGCAAATTGTCAAGGCAGGGAATATAATCAGGACCAGCAGTAACATTGCACAGTTTCCAGCTGTAGCCGGTTTGCTGCTTGGATGAACCTTGAGATTCCTTCTCATTCTTCGATTCAGCAGCTTGTGTAGAAAATGCCCCATTCTGAGTAGTAGTTTCATTCAAAAGATCTGATTGTGCACCAGAAGGGAACACTTCAGTAGGAGTCTGATCTTTTGTCTGACTCTCGTCTTTCTTGTCATCTGAGTTATCCCCGGATCCATCCTTATCATTTTGGCTCACCTTCTCCTCAATCTCACCATCCACTTTCTCTTCACTCTTAGTGTCAGCTGAACTTTCTTCTGAATCTGTTTTCTTCTCGCTCTCATCTGTGTCAGATTTCTGTTCACCAGAACCCTCTTCAGAGTCTCCCTGCCCACCAGAATCATTATCTCCACCTTCAGTTTTTGATCCGTCTGTTTCTTGATTTGATTCATTATCTTCGGACTTGGTCTCCTCCGCTGAACTTTCCTTCTCTCCGGTTTTCAGTTCCACGTTCTCATCTTGCTTCTGTTCTTGGTTCTCTTGCGAATTCGAGTCACTTTCGCTCTGAGAAGGCGTATCATTGGTGTCTCCTTTGGTGGCATCCTCTGGTAAGTCACCTGGATTATCCTCAAATTGGCTGGTGTCGCTATCTTTTTTCTCTTGTTCCTTCACCTCATCCACATTCTCATTTGCTTGTTCCTTCACCTCATTATTGTTCTCAATCACCTGCTCGTTCACCTCACTCTTGTTCTCCTGGGATACATCTACATTTTGCATGGGAACGACTGACGAGGACGTCATCATCCAAACCCCAACCAAGCAGAGGGCAACAAAAACTACGATTGTCACCGTAGAGCAGTAACTCGATGAGGACCTTCTATTATCGACTCTAGTATATTTTCCTAAAGCCATGTTTACTGTGTTACTGAATCCTATAAGTTAACACCTGGAAGAACAAGGAGTAGAAGATACAATTAGTAATATAACAAAACGTTAGTTAACAATCAAGGATCAAAACCACTTCAATCACCACTAGCTTAATAAATCCATTGCTTTCATTCAAGATAAGAAAAGATCCAACAGATCCAATTACTTCCTTAAAAACAATGATGAAATGCTTAACAGGTTGCAACAGCCACCAGTAAAAGATGATCATCATGTAGAAGACGAATCGAGAACTACGCGATTCTTTCCAGATGCTTCAGCACACAAATAAATTCACAATTCTCCAGACTATAAATATCACTGAGTAAAGATATTGGCATTAAAAAAAAGATGGCAATGTCAAAACAAGTTCTTCAAAGCAAAAACATCAGGCAAAGACCAAATCATATCAAAAGGAGCTTCAAGACCAATAAAGGCAATCGAACCGAGCAAGTTATCCCCAAAAACCGACAGATGAAGAAGGCGAAACGCAAGAATCACATCCCTTCAATGCCAAAAAAAAAACCAGCTTGTTTGTGCTCAAAAAACTCAAACTGAACCGAGAAAATAAACGAAACAATCCAGACCCGCCCAGATCTACGCTAAATCACAATCCAGTCGCAAGAAAACAAATCAAAAATCCAATAAAACATCGAGCTCATCACGAAATGCTGATCAAGATACAGATTTTCCAGAGACCCACGATTCCTGAACCCCCAGAAAGATCAAAGACCAAACACACAAAACCAAGAGACCCGTCTAGATCCGCAGCAAGACTCGCGTACCCACATGCACAGGAGCGCAAGATCAAGAAAACAAGAACGAATCCCAAGCAAGCTTAGACATCAGAACAGTACTCACAATCGGAGAAACCAGAAACACCCGAGATCGGATCTGAGTCTGAGGAGCGAAAGAAGGAGAGCGGCTATCTGCCCATCACTGTTTCCCTTGGTGGGTCACTGAGGGGAGAGAGAGGACGGAGCGATGACGGCTTATTACTTATAGAAAGCGAGAACGGATCTTTCCCCTTTTCTTTCCTGTGCTTTTTTCCTTTTCTTTCTTTCGTGTTTTCTGAGCTGCCGTCAGCTGGAGTTAAAATCCAGCATTAACTTTCAAGAAATCACGAGAGAGAGAGGAAGGGAGGGAAACCGCGTCGTGGGATTGACGACATTAGACACAGGCTCTCCTAGATTTGGTGCACCGATGGTGGGGCTGGGAGAGATGAAGGGGCGGCCTACGACAGGATGGTCAAGAAAAGCTCTCTCTCTCTCTCTCTCTCTCTCTCTCTCAAGAAGCACAGGAAGAGAGAGAATTTGGACAAGAGACGAAGCACAGAAGAGAGAGAGAGAGAGAGAGAGACAGCCACGGGTAAAAATCGGTGGATAAGGAGGGGGGGTGACGACAAGGAAGAAAAAACCTCCAACTGCTCAAAACCGAGCGAGGTTGATTTAGGAAATTTCATAAATACTCGGAAATTACTATTTTTTGGTAAGGAGGAAATTACTATTTTTGGCAAGGCTAATTCATAAAAAAAAAAAGAGCACGAACTTTATTTTGAGTGACAATTCTTACTAGAACTTCTTTTCGTCTCGATAAAAGGCACCGAAAAATATGACCCCCGTGATGTGAGATTTTCAAGTTGTTCGAGTCAGATTTGGAATTGAAGTGAAATTTGACGATTTTTTTTTATTAGACAAAGAAAATTTGGACAAGAGTTTTCACTGGAAGTAAAGTTGGTGTTTGTTTTTTGGAATTATGCCTTTTGGCAAGTGCAGTTATTATTATCTATTTATTTATTTTGGAGATTTTAGTTGATGAAATATTTGAGGTCTATTTTATGCGTTTGAATTGAGATTCACCTTCTTGATTTAGATTAAGATCGAGTTTGTGTCGAAACTAGAAATTTCCCCTAAATTCCAAAAAACTCGAATATCTGTCTTTGTCACAAAAGGAATTTGTGAAGAAACGTGCATGATTATATATGGATCTTTAGTTTTAAGTTTAGTTGTTTCGTATGATAAAAGCGAAATCATAAGGGCCATAAAAGATTTTTTAAAAGATTATTTCCTCTTTTTCGTTCCTTCAATAATTATATCCTCTTTTTTGTTGTATTTCCTTTTTCCAAATTATATGTAGTGGAAATTCGAAGAACGGAGGGTAGCAAATGCCAAATAAATCAGGAACGAACCTTGGGGTTTTGATATCACGTTAGAATGTCCAACATAAAAACTTAAATTCATAGGTGGATGAAAACCATGTGTAAGAACATATAAATTTCGTAGACAAACGATATGCATATGTATGATCAAGATTCAAGTCTTCATAGAGGGAGACAAGGAAGAGTTTGAAAAGAAAGTTCATATATTGATTTTACCTCTAATTTCACTTAATTTTTCTTTTCTTTTAAATAATATAAATTATGGGTGTGAATATACCCTATTTATGAAAATCGACTATAAATTTTTTTTGTACTTGGGTCACTACAAATTTTGAAAAAATAAAATCCAACGTGTGTAGCTACTTATATCACATCATGTGCACTAGCACGGTCACCTTCCCTCCAGCAAATTTACTTAATTCATATCACGAGAAAACACTTAGCTTAGTCAATTCAATCGGACCCCATTACTCTCTCTTTCCCTCCAAAAGAGAGGCATGATTTTAGCATGTGCAATTAAGTGGAATTAAGGCTATTTTGTCGGGTTGGAATCAAAAGGGCAAAGCCAATGGCCCAGTTGGATCCGACTCATGGTACATTAGGGCATGATTCATTAAAACGAGGGCTCGATGGAAGCTTCATCCTCAAGCAAAGCTGCAATTAATTGTCACATTTATCGACCATGAGTCACATTTCATCATTAAAGTCGGATCTCAATGTCCACCCCTATTAGGGAACAAAATCGCAGTGATCTAGACAGTTAGGTGCTCTTATTTTTTTATAAAATAAGAAGAAGAAAATTCATTACACTAAAATGCTATTGTTGATTTAGAATAATAGAGATTTTTCTTGCCTTTAAAAGGTATTGATGTGGCGTCATGCTTCCTATTTTGGTAAGAGTTAGATAGCTCATGCCAGCCACATAGTGATTATTTTTCCATAAGTCCAGCCTTAGCATGTTTTACTAATTCAAAGTATTAATCGTTTTATTTTGGAGCGCGATGTTAATATTGTAGCAGCCAATCAAGGATCAGATAAGGGACACGAGTTATCCAACTTTTGATTAGGTTTGGCAAAAAAAATTTCGTGAGCAGATATGCTGAGGAATGGTTAGAAAAGAGTGTGGTAATGTAATGACAGCCAATCGCGATTCATGTCGAGAACACGAGTTGTCTAACTTTTGATCAAGTTGGGTCAATCTTCTTAGGCAAATATTCTGAACAGTGGTTAAATAACGAGTGTCAATGCGACACCTCGAGTTCGATATCGAATGGGGTTACAATCTCCTATGATCACGTGACTACTTTTCTTTTGAGGATTTGACTTACGTGAAGTCATTTGAATACCCTAAATGGTCACCATCTCGTGGGGTCGTTGCAAATAGTATTAGAGAGGGACCACTTTTAGGTAGATGAGAATTTGAGAACGGACTAGGCTCAAGCCGATTTGACAACTACAAGGAGTGATCATTGAGACGAGAGGTTCAGACAAGGTGGCGAAAGGCGTGACGACGAAAGGGCGAGAATGTATAATTACAGATTCACCCTTAAAATGCTCACCGCCATGCGCGGCCAATCAGATGGAAATTTTTCTAGCAAATTAGGTCAAATTGCAACGAGATTTCTGGTCTTTTAACCGAAAATTTAGGAGAAATTGCAATGGAGGAAAGCGACGTGAGCGATCTCGGTTGGAAAAAAGGGTGAAAGAGAAGGATGGAAGACCAAAATAGTCCAAAACGAGAGGAAGCTGGTATTATCGTTTGAAAGGCACTAGGAACCGATTTTTGCGATTGATCCGACAAGGCATTGGATCTCTATACTTAAACTATCTGGAAAATTGTGCTAGGGCTCTACTTTTTGGGAAAAAAGTGTGATTAGTTATTTTATATGATAATACCTACTTATAATGGTGCATTTGCTTCATTAGAAATAAATGCTTTCGAAAATATTTTTCTAAAAATGATCGCTTATAATAATGAACGAGCAGAAAATATTATCATTAACCATGAAAATATTTAGACATAAATTGTTGTGAATGGTGAAAATATTTTTCAATGACAGATAATTTCAAGCGATATAAACGATTATTTTTAGGAAAATGCTTTTCAGATCATTTACTTTTCGCAAAACAAACAGAGTTTACGAGTAGTAAAAGTGAATTGGTATAAACGACAACTAGAAAAATGTGCACGCGCGTTTGTGGGTGTCCAAGAAATTGGCATCCGAAACATTAAGCAAAATCACTTTGGTATGGAATATTTGAGTCGATGAATAGTTGAAAGAAATAAGGGACAAATTAAAGCAATAATACAGAGAAATTGTACAAATATACGTGAAAGGAGAAAAATATTTCACGGTTCGAAAGCTTTTTAGGAAAGGTACCATGGAATATAAAGAATCCAAATTTTAATACCGAAACATGTGAGGGATCAGATGAAGTTGCGTATTTAAATACGTATTTGTCTATGTACTCGATGTTTATAAAATAACTAATCAAGCGATCGAGATCATGTAAAAGTACTATACTATAAAATAAAGAGAACCTTCTAATTTTGTGGGATCTCAATCTTTTCTTTCTTCAAAAAATGTCATTAATTACTTGTTCCACAAATAGTAAATTCATGGGCAACCGCGTTAGTGAATAATTCTATGTAATCTCTCACGTATTCTAATAATAAAATCCGAATTTTCTTTTTCAATCCGACAACAACATTGCCACAAAAATATTTCACTTCTTGAAATATCTGTATATTTCACGTATTATTATACATTTGATTTGAAAATTGTGTACTTTTACTGATAAAAATCTTTCCATTATCTAAATAATTCAAATAGGTACTAATAACATGATATTACTCAATCTTTTAAAATGTCGATTTTGCGCATAAACGCAAGGAAGGCGCACGACCGTCACTTGCCAATGCCAGTGTAGAAATTAGCCAGTTGTGCACTATAAGGAAGATGGCTCGTTACTCTGACAACATACCGCTTCTCATCCATACTTTCCAGTATAGTTCGATCGGTCCTGCTCTGTCATGATTCATTGCGCTAGACGTCGAGAAGATTACCGGGTGGGAGAATCTTGCTGAGGAATTCCTTCGACAATATAAGTTTAACCCAAAGATTATCCATACGAGGGAAGACATGGTTCGGGTGGAGAAAAGAAGGAATGAACCTTTCAAAGCCTTCGTTCAAAGATGGAGAACGATAGCGTCACATGTGAAGATGGTGTTACTATAGTTGTGATTATACTCTTGATCTGATAAAATTAAGTTATAGTTTGACTAGTAGTTGTTAGAACTTGGCTTTAATTTATATTATAAGGAAACTTGGATTTGCATTGGGAGGAGAATCTAGACAGGGTGGACCGAAAGTAAGATCTATACCTATGTCGAATAAAATAAGTTAGTGCATTTTTCAATCGATAGCTGGCAGCTGCGGTCCAAGCACGGTCTTGTATGATATTCCAGAATAATGGAGACAAAAATGCACGACGTCCTTTTTCCTTTGATTTTTGCATGCTGGACCAACCATTCTCCATGGGAAAAAAATTGATAATTAGTCCATATCAATGATGGCCTTTGTTTATTCTTTATTTTCGAGATTTGAAGTTTTAATTTGATTTAAAATGAAGTGTTTCGAATTTTTAAAATCACGCAGTACCTTTTTTTTTTAAGAAATTCGAGGGCGCGGACATGGAATTCCGACGGCCTGGAGGCCCGTGGAAACATGCACCCATGGACCGGTTATGTACACGCCTTTGACTTGTGCATGTGGCCCTCGTCTGGAACAGTTTACACGTAATTGGTGAGATTCAAACGGATGACGCTCGGTTCCTAAATTGGAAATCCATGATTACTCAACACCGACCTCGAGGAGTTAACCAGTAAACATGAACTCTTACTCGACGAGAATGAATATCGAAATATAGTGTAGTAATTTTATTTCATCGGTGTGTAATACTATGCGGTCGGTGAATTCGTAAATTACGTGAAAATTTATGTAGTTATATTCTGTCATTTGGGTGTACGAACGAATCAAGGAACCAGGGTACATTGTTGGAGAAAATATTTCATGCACGGCATGCACCACCACCGCCACATTTACATAGCAATCGCATGTAGAGAAGCAA